GATGGATGTGGGGTGGAGGGGGTCAGTGGGGTTAAAAGGGGGATATCTGTAATGGTCTCAACAATGAAGATAAAGAAACATTTAAAAAAAATTTAAAAACAAACTGTTTTTTAGTGAAGTTTTGCTGTTAATTTTATAAGAAAGCCCTCTTTGAAATTTTTGCTTATGGAGTCTTAACTTAAACTTAAGTCTTTAAATGTACATCATACTTTAAAAGAAGGATCAAAAGTATTAGAAATCACTTGAAATCACTTAGCACATAGATTAGAAAGCCAATGAAATCCAACTGATAAGTTTATCTCAGGAAAAGATTCAGAAACAGTTTACAGCATGCCTTAAATGTCACTTAATTAGAGCTTCTATTGATTTAAAACTTTCAGAGAAAAGTGATCTTTTACTAAACTTTAGGAGTCAGGATAAATTTAAACAGTGAGTCAGTGTAGCCAGTATATGATGAGGAAGCTTTACTTCATTTTATTTTTTAAAAAAATATATCTTTATTGATTTCAGAGAGAGGAAAGGAGGGGGAGAGGGAGAGACAGAAACATCAATGATGAGAGAGTCCTTGATGGTCTGTCTGCCTAAGCCTGAAATATGGGCATGTGCCCTGACCGGGAATTGAACCCCAATCTCCTGGATCCTAGGTCGATGCTCAAGTGCTGAGCCAAACCCGGCCGGGTGGAAGCTTTATTTTAAAGAAAAAAATATTTTATGGCCCTGCATATGTGTTTTTTTCCTAAGGTATTCTTCAGGGACATTGTGGCCTACTTTGAGCAGTTAGTTTTGAGCATTTTTTTTCCTTCTTTAAGCACATTAGGGAGAGCAAATAGATAAGGAGCATATCCATGTGAGAAACTTAAAAAAATCATAGGAAATAGTAAAAAAGAAAAAATTCAAAAAACACTGCAATATGAAGCCTGAAAAGGAAGGATGCCTAATGGCAGAACCTAAAGGAGAAGGAAAAGGGAGGGGAGGGAGAAGGAAGACAGAACACAGAAAGACAGTGTAAATGGAGGAAGGAGGAAGCAGAGATAGACAATAACTTGGCAAAGTCCACTAGTCCAAGAGTGCCAGTGTCATTCTAAGGAGGTCATTGATGTGGAAACCAGCACAGGAATGAGTGGTGTCAAGAAGTAGGGACAATTCGGTGATGTTTATTTTGACACTTTTCACCTAAGAGATGGAAGGAGAATTGCCATTGGTAAATAAGTAGGAATCATTCATGTAGGAAGAAGATTTTTTTGTTTGGTGTGTGTTTACACTGTTCTGGTCTTAGTTACAGACACGATTACAGAATGATTGTGTCTCTGTATTGTTTTACCAATGTAACAGAGTGATCTGTGTATTGTTTATATTCTGAAAGTTAATCATTTGGGAATACTATGGTCTAGCTGCCAGAATAAATACAGAATGATCAAAGTATTATCTATATTCAATAAATTCCTTAATTTTAAGTGTACTTTTTGATTAATTTTGATAATTGTATAGAACTGTGCAACCACCCACATAATATAAAATAAAATTTCTACCTCAAAAAAGGACAAAGTTTTTTTATGTACATAATAACTCAATAAATCCAATTTTAGAGTTTGTAAGGAGACTAGTCTGTGCACTGCTGGCATGATTACTTTAAAAAAAAGGCAAGAGCCCAGCCAGGCCTGGCTCAGTGGTTAAGTATTGACCTAGGATCCAGGAGATGGTAGTTCAGTTTCCGGTCAGGGCACATGCCCGGGTTGTGGGTTTGATCTCCAGTAAGGGGTGTATGGTGGCCGATCAATGACTCTCTCATCACTGATGTTCCTGCTTCTCACTCTTCCTCTCCCTTCCTCTCTGAAATCAATAAAGATACATTTAAAAAGCAACAAAAAAAGGAAAGAGAGCCTTGGCTGTGTGGCTAAGTGGTGAGAGCGTCGGCCTGTGCACCAAAGGCTCATGGGTTCAATTCCCAGTCAAGGACAAGTACCTGGGTTGCAGGTTGAATCCTGGGCCCAGGTCAGGCGCATGCAGGAGGCAACCAATCAGTTTCTCTCTTTCTCTTTCTCTCTCTCTCCCTCCCCCCCCTCCATCCCTCCCTTCCACTCTCTAAAAAAAATGAACGTCGAGGAAACAAGATGGCAGCATAGGCAATAGCTGTACCTGCTACCTCCCACAACCACATGAAAATTAAAACTAAAACACAGAACCACCATCACTCAAAACCTCCTGAAATCTGGCTGAACAAAAGCCTTACAACCAGGGAACTGAAAATGCACCGAGACCAGTAGGAGGGGCGGAGACGCAGGTGGATCAGGACTCAATAGCTGAGACGTGGCTGCGGGCCACACCCGGAGCCACGGTTAAACCCAGGAGAAATATCTCAGCAGCAGAGGTTTCCCAGAGGAGGAAGGGGTCCCAGCCCCACATCAGGCCCCTCCAGCCCAGGGCTCCAGGGCTGGGAAGAGAAGTCCCCACACCTTCGGGTGGTGAAAACCAGCGGGAACTGTCCCTGAGGGACTTGGAGGCTACGGGAGCCCCAGGCAGCTCCTCTTAAAGGGCCCGTGAATGGACTCACTCAGACAGGCTCCCTCTAAGCCCAGTGCCAGGCAGCAGCTTGAAAGGAACCTGGGACATTTGGGGAGGAAGTAACCTGCCTGAAATTGGGGCAAGAGCTGGAGGGGCAGCTTCCTCCTAGGCAGAAGAGCTGGCAGAGGCCATTGCTCCTTTGGTGAGCCCTCCCCGCACACAGCCAGCAGGCAGGCGCCATATTTGAATCGCCAGCACCTCACACCTTTGGCCCCGCCCCTCCCCACCTGCAAGCTCATCCAGGCCATTTCCAGGGGCTTTTCTGTGCAAGTGGCCTCTCAAGCCTCATGCTTAGGATTTTCCTAAACTCTCTCAAACAAGCACCAGCACGTACCATATGGCTTGATAAGTGGCCCCAGGCCTGGCACTAGTGACAGCCTACACTGGTTCATAGTTTGGCCTCTCCTGGACACCTCCAAGCCCAGCACAAGTAACAGCAGCCAACTATGGTTTGCTTTGTAGCTCATGCTGGGTGGCCCCGGGCGAGTAACTGGCAGAGGCTGACTTTGCACCCCCGGGAGGCCCAAGGACAGTGCACTTGGTGATCAGACTCGACCAAACTGGATTACAAAACTACAACATCCACAAGTGACACACTCAAGGGGTGCACTTGGTGAAAACCAAAGCTCCACTGAAGTAAATCCTGATCCATAGGGGTGTTTCCAGCACAGCAGCTCTTTGGCTGTAGTTGCAGCTGGTCCTCAGAGCTGATTGGCCAGGGGGTCAATTCCTCCCAGTGATGCCAACAGCAACCAAGGCTCAACTACAACAGGACAGTGCACATAGCCCACACAGGGGACCACCTAAAAGGTCCATCTCAGGTGACTGGGGAGGCTGAGCCACTGGACCCTACAGGACACCTACCATACAAAGCCATTCTACAAATTCCATGAGACACAACAGCTCTACCTAATACATAGAAACAAACATCTGGAAGCAGCCAAAATGTGGAGGCAA